GGCCGGTCCAGCGGAGTTGATGGCAGAGGACCATCGCTTCAATGGTGGTGGTCTTTGCTTCTTCCAGCACGCTGACGTTTGTCCGCTTGTCCTCCCAGGATATTTGCAGGATTTTCCGGAGGCAGCGCTGATGGAATCGTTCCAGGAGTTGCATGTGACGTCTGTAGACAGTCCATGTTTCGCAGGCATACAGCAGGGTTGGGAGGACAATAGCTTTATAGACAAGCACCTTGGTCTCCCTACGGATGTCCCAGTCCTCAAACACTCTCTGCTTCATTCGGGAAAATGCTGCACTCGCAGAGCTCAGTGTTGTATTTTGGTGTCGATGTTTACTTTGGTGGAGAGGTGGCTGCCAAGGTAGCGGAAATGGTCAACATTTTCTAATGTCGCACCATTAAGTTGTATCTCTGGCATTGGGGAGGGGATGGCTGGTGACTGCTGGAACAGCACTTTGGTTTTCTCGATGTTCAGTGACAGGCCAAGCTTCGTGTATGCTTCTGTGAAGGTGTTTAGAGTGGCTTGTAGATCTTCTTCTGAATGCGCACAGATGACATTGTCATCAGCATACTGGAGTTCTATAACAGATGTTGTTGTAAGCTTGGTTTTGGCTTTCATGAATTTCCAAGGCCAGCCAAGCATTTTCAGGAATTTCCAAGGCCAGCCAAGCAAAACCTTTGTAGTGCAATGAATTGGGGCAGTGAGTCTCAAAATGTGCTCCACGGAGCCCTTGACACTACAAATGAGATATGTGCTGTGTGCATAGGAATTTCAGTAAGGCCTTCGACAAGGTCTCCCATGACCTTCTGGCAAACAAACTAGTCCAATGTGGGCTAGGCAAAACTACGGTGAGGTGGATCTGTAATTGCTTAAGTGGACGAACCCAGAGTGTGCTCACCAATGCTTCCTCTTCATCCTGGAAAGAAGTGACGAGCAGCGCGCCAGAAGCAGGGTTCCGTCCTGTTCAACATATTTATTAATGGCTTAGATGAAGACATAGAAGGCATGATAATCAAGTTTGCAGACGACACCAAATTGGGAGGGATAGCCAATACAGGAGCAGAATTCAAAACGAT